TTACTCGAGTTCGGGAATGGGGAGAGAGAAGGAAGGTGAGTTGGGAGTTTTGAGTAGAGAACGAAATGGAAAAACCCTAGGCCCTAAATGGGGTTTGGGTGCGCGAGTTTTGAAGCCCAGCTGTCCCTGAGTTGCTCCCAGATGGGTCTCGAAGTGTCCGGTCCGATTCCTTTGGTTTGGTCCACTGGGCCGCGGCGTGTTGGTTGATTTCTAGATCGAAAACTCCATATTACAACTCAATGGAAGCATTTCCCCCAACCTAATTGAATCTCATTTCCTCACTTTTTCTGAGTGTAAATACATTAGAAACTAAATATTTCAAGTAATTCATAATACTGCATGTTTGTTGGAAAATTTGAAGTAAAAGAAATGAAAGAAAAATTGATTTATATTACAACTCTCTCAATCTCGATTACAATTGAATCTCCTGATTACAAAAGAGAGTAGAATGATCTGGATTCTCCCCTTTGTTTAATTTTGGGTTCTTCACGGTGGCGATGGAGTGCCTCCCTCGAATGCTCGCGTCGAGTTTGCTCTCCGTTGACGATCCGAACATCTTGTTTCACTGGGACGTGGTCTTCTCCTCACGATTTGACGTTGTGGAGAACTTGCGTGGTAAGTTTGAAAATAACTCTTAACGAGTTTATAACTCAGAGCGAGTTTTAGAAGAACTTGCAGAGTGAGTTTTAGAAGAACTTGCAGAGCAAGTTTTGAACTCTGATCGAGTTGATAACTCTAAACGAGTTGATAACTCTGAACGAGTTTGAAACTCTATGGAAGAGTTGATTTAACCGAAAGTCGGTTATAAGCCAAGTATGAAGAAGCTCCTATTGCCGATCTCCAAAATCCCAGCCGAAGGATGAAGGCTCTTCTTTGCTGCTAAGCTTCAGATCCAAAAAGCCAGACCCTCCGATCAACCAAGCTAGCCCTTGACCGAATCTCCCTCCATTGATGAGACAAAATTCGATCTCTTAACTCAATTGAGTTTCTCGTATTTATATGGGATTAAAAGTGGTAAATGCCCCCTTAATCCGCTCCTAAGTGGGGCGGAAATCCCTCAAATCTTAGGGGGGGAATGGTTTCTGGAACTGTTCGGTTCGTGTTTGAACGAGTCAAACGCCGAAAATGGCGTTCTGGGCACGAACTCTGCGTTTTAGACTAAAAACGCAGAGTTGGGCCTATTTTGGGTGGCTGAACGCACAGGCCGCAATGCGTTGTAAATCTGAAACGTAGAGTTGGGACACAGAGATGAACTCTGCGTTTTGGACCTGAGACGCAGAGTTGGAACACAGAGATGAACTCTGCGTTTTGGACTTGAGACGCAGAGTTGGAACACAGAGATGAACTCTGTGTTTTGGACGTGAGACGTAGAGTTGGAACACAGAGATGAACTCTGCGTTTTGGACCTGAGACGCAGAGTTGGAACACAGAGATGAACTCTGTGTTTTGGACCTGAGACGCAGAGTTGGAACACAGAGATGAACTCTGCATTTTGGACCTGAGACGCACAGAGATGAACTCTGCGTTTTGACTCCGGAATATAGCCACGACCTCTGCGTTTCGAGTTTGGAACGCAGCCCCGACCTCTGCGTTTTGAGTTTGAGAACGCGGGCATGACCTCTGCGTTTTGAATCTTGGATGTAGAGGTGAGCCTTAGGTGGGCTCGGCGAGCTTTAGGCTAAGTCCGATGTTCTGACGAAGTCCAGTCTTGCAGACGGACTTCAGAACATAACTTGCTGCGAAGAACATGTCATAACTTTCAAACCGTAAGTCGGAATTGGACGAATTATATATGAAAATCGGCTATCTCGACGAGACGGAGCCGACCAAACTGACCTCATTGGGTTCGGTTTGCTCCGTCAGTTTTGCCAAATTCCTTACGGTTTGAGAGATATCTGTGTTTTAGTATGAAGAGACCGTCAATTTGTAGTCTCTTTCGCTAGAGCGTTGCAAAGATCGTCACCTTGTAACCTTCGTCTTGGCTCCTTGAAAATATGAGAGTCATCAGATTGTAATTCCAGATGTTGATTGTGAAGGATGTTGAATTAGAGCTTTCATTAGTTGTTGTGAAGGTCGTCAGATTGTAACCTTCTACGTGAAAGTCTTCAAATTATAGCCTTCTGGAAGTCGTCAGATTGTAACTTCCATCATTGGTGTTTGATGGGGATAAGCTATCTGTAGTGATTTTTAGACAGCCTACATAACCCCCTTCAAAGTTTTCGAAAGTTCGCGGTTAACTGGGACGAAATTTCAGAATACTTTGGATCTTAACTCTGATCTTGGAGCTTTTGATTCCTTGTCATAAGGAGTTGTTCTTTGCACCCACTTCGAAGGCATCTTGGTTGAAGGGGTTTTCCACGCAGGACTTGTGTGATTATGAGCTTCAAATAGAAACTGTAGCGATGGTACAAGTTACTCATGAGCAGAAGCTATCAAACGTCATGTCACGGCTCACCTCCATTCAGCTAATGGGCCCGCAAACATTCATAGGATTTTTGGCAAACCCTCAGCCGTCAACGGATTTGATAAGCTTTTACCGACTACCGTTTGAGTCATCAACGGATTTGATAAGCTTTTACCGACTACCGTTTGAGTCGGGCTAGCATGTGAATTATTTGAATCCGTTTCACATGTAACGTTGTGCTAAGAGAATGAACTCTCTTAGACTTAATGCTATGATTTTGAATACATAGACTTTGTCATTTTGACGGGAAAATACTAACCGGCAACGCGTGTTAGGCGTAGGCTTATCTCTAATTAGGGATCGAAATAAAGTCCCCCATGCATGTAAGGCATGGATTTTGGTGCTACGATGTTGAATACGTAGACTTTGTCATTATTACGGGAATGAACCACCCGGCAGCATGTTTTAGATGCAGACTTATCTCTATTTAGGGATCAAGATAAAGTCCCCCATGCGTGTAAGGCATGAATTTTGGCGTTATTAATAACGACCTGCCACGATGTTGAATACGTGGGTTTTTGTCCTTATTACGGTCAAAGAATAACCAGCAACGCGTATTAGGCGTTGACTTATCCCTACTTAGGATTCAGGATAAAATTCCCCATACATGCAAAGTATGGATTCAGAGATTATTAATTTAATGATAATCACCGGCTACGATATTGAATACGTAAACTTTGTCCCTGTTTCTTCCTGTGTTACTTGAAACACTGAAAGAAAGTTGGAAGTGCCAGAGGTGTAGTGTTAACTTGGCATGAATTTTCACTTAGAATGAAATTCAAAAATTTTCTTGGTTATCACTAGGATAAATCCATAAAATCTTTAATTCACTGGGGATTTTATAATAAAAAACTTGCTATTCTTGTTGAAAAAGGATTAACAAGCTCATTGCGGGTTTGACTGTTAGAGATGTGATGTTAACCTAACAGTATTTTATGGGTCTATTGCTCTATTGAAGAGTGTCGATAGGTTGATTTGGTGTTGTCAGAGGTGTGATGTTAACTTGACTGGAATTTGTGGACCTATCGCTCTATTGAGGAGAGTCGATAAGTGGATTGTATCGTCAGAGGTGTGATGTTAACTTGACGGGAAAGATATTACGATCGGGACAATTTTGTATACTTATCGCTCTATTGGGGGAAGTCGATAAGTGGATTTTATCGTCAGAGGTGTGATGTTAACTTGACAGGAAAGATATTGCGATTGGGGTAATTTTGTGGACTTATCGCTCTATTGGGGAGAGTCGATAAGTGGATTTTGTCAGAGGTGTGGGATTAACGTGACATGAATTTATTACGATCGGAGCAACTTTGGGGACTTATCATCCTGTTGAAGAGGATTGATAAGTTGATTGTCAGAGGTGTAGTGTTAACATGACGAGAATTTGTTGCGATTGGAGCAACTTTGGGGACTTACCATCCTATTGAAGAGAATTGATAAGTTGATTGGTTGTCAGAGGTATTCTATTGAACATGACAAGAATTTGTGTACCTGTGACTTGCACAAGATTTTGGGAATTAGCGTCTCGCTGGGGAAGATTGTGATTTGAGCAATTTTGAGGACCTATCATCCTATTGATAAGGATTGATAAGTTGATTGTCAGAGGTGTATTGTTAACGTGACAAATTGGGAGTGATGCAAGCTGCATTCATACTCTATTAGGGTAATAATCGTCAGAAGTGTAATATTAACTCGACGATATGAAAGATTCGTTACTCTTAATCCAATGGATTCCAAGTAACCAACCCCCGGTCTTAATCAAGACTTAACAGGGGGGAAAAGGTAGACAAGGCACATCGCCTAGTGGGGCACTATCCATGAAGTTAGAATAGAGGCACATCACTTGGTAGGACATTATCTGATGAGTTTGACTATCAGAGATTAACGGTTAACATGATAGTTTTGTGGACATGTCATCCTATTAAAGAAAATTGGCAAGTTGATGGGCTATCAGAGGTAACTGTTAACGTGATAGTTTTGGTGGACCTGCCATCCTATTGAAGAGGATTAGCAAATTGATAGACTATCAGAGGTAACTGTTAACGTGATAGTTTTAGCGGATTTCGTGGTTGACAGAGGTATTTTATTGAACGTGACAACTCAAAAAAATTTATTATTCATAATCCAATGAACTACAAATAAACCAACCCCCAGTCTTGAACAAGTGCAGGGGGGAAAGGAGTAGACATGGCACATCGCCTAGTAGGCCACTATCTAACGAGTTAGACTATCAGAGGTAATTGTTAACGTGATAGTTATTGGACCTGACATCCTACTGAAGAGGATTGGCTTCAGTGGCCGTAGTATCTTCCTCTTCTGACTGAGAAGATTGGGCTTGGTCCGATTGCTCAGGTTGATCCTGCTTACTTTGTTCTTTAGTTTTGATCCTGGCAATAATCTTTTGAGCCTGTTCGTCTTGAGAGATTAGTTGTCTCCAAGAACGATATTCTGCAACTCCTATTCGGGCTAGGAGGTCGGTCTGCAAGTTGTGTCGACAGGTCTCTACCAGTGTAGACTGTGTCATACCTGTCTGACATCGCAGAGCTATGTTTCGAAACCTTTTGACGAAGGCTTTGACGGACTCCCTCTTATTCTGCTTAATGGTGAGAAGGGTATGGATGGAGACTTTTATATCCTCTTCAAAGAATCTTGACAGGAAGAGTCTCTCTAGATCTGCCCACTTTTGAATACATCCTGCATGCAGTTTCCTGAACCATTCAAAGGCAACTCCCTTGAGGGTGCCAATGAACAATCGAGCCAGTATAGCATCGTTTGATATGCCAGTATAGCATCGTTTGATATCACATTTCCAGTCTGTGACTTGAAATGATAGATATGTTGGTTCGGTGATCCCGTGTCGTCAAAAGTTTGTAGCGTCACTTGAAATGATAGATATGTTGGTTCGGTGATCCCGTGTCGTCAAAAGTTTGTAGCGTCGGGACTTCAAACTTTGGATGATAAGGGGTTGCATCCCATTCGGTAGGATATGGTTTGACAACTCCCTCGTCTTGGAGCTCGCTTCTGTTGGCCATGGCATTAAGACGGGCTTCCAATTCTTCTATTTTGGCAGATTGGAGATTCTACTCGTTCTCAGTCTCTCTTCCTTCATCAGAGGAAGATTTCAGGTTGTGGGCTTCTTGGTCAGAAGCCGTGTCATCAACCACTTTTCCCTTCTCTTTGCTTGTGTGAGGTCGGGATGAAGACGCTTTTCCTCTCCGGGAAGATTCTTGCCTAGGTAGCGAATCTATCTCCTGAGATTTGGCCTTATCTGCGACGATTTGAGTCAATAGGGCCATGAGTTCATTGATGGCCTCCTGTTGAGATTTGAGCATGGCCTCCTGCTCGTCAAGTCTCTTCGTGAGATCTTCATGGTTTCCCGTCATATAAGCGGATCTCTCATGTTCTATGAAAGAACTAGATGACTGGGACTCCGCAATGGCTGAATGTTCATCATCGAAATTGGTTCTTTTGACTAACCTCTGATAGTTGACAGGGGGAATAGCTCTTGTTCGCGTCCGAGTGCGTTGGTAGATTCCTTCAAACTCGTTAGCGATTTCTCTGACAGTCGGTGAACGACTTGTCTCAGAGTCCTCGGAACTAGGACCCGAAGCTTTCCCTCTGCCGATCACATTGATAGTGACCCCAGGATAGTCGGTCTTTGGAGAATTCTTCCTGTGAGAACGTCGTCGTTGGTTGGGCAAAGCAACGTTCGTAAATTGTTCGAACACCAACAGTTTGGCCGCATATGAGCAGCATTGACATCCCGAGAGGACCGTAGGAATCAGTCGTTCATATTGGAATGAACGAATGACTTGTTGTGTCGGTCTTTCTCTCGGTATGAACTCCCTCAAATCTGTTGTAAAGACTCGAGAATTACTCATTGATCGTGAGGTTTGAATTGGAACCCCCAGTCTATGATTGGATAGGATTGGCTCCTGGTGAACATGGATATTGAATCCACGTTGATCTTTTTGAACACGACGAATCGCATCGTGTTCTGAAGAAGAAACACGAGGGTCGTGTTCTGTTTTACTAACGCTAGACCGAAGTCTGCGTTTTGTTGATGAAACGCACCTTTGCCGGTTGTGTTTTTGTCGGTTAACGCAGTTCGTAAGTCTGGGTTTTGGATCATGAACGCACTCCTGAGAGTTGCGGTTTGGTTCTGGGACGCACTCCTGAGAGTTGCGTTCTGCCAGATGTAGGTGTAAATTTTGATCTCCCGAAAACAGGGAACTTCGTTTGTATTGATAAGAACGGCTTATTACAAACTAATAATCAAATGTTTACAACAGAAGCGGAGGGAATGCCCTCCTTGTTTAACGTGGGTTCCTCGGTGGCGATAGGACGCCTCGCTCGGTGCTCGTGCCGAGTCTGCTTCCCTTGGACGATCCGATCGAAGTTGCTGCTGGAGCTTCAGTTCTTAAATGAGGGAGCATTTGGCAAAAGTCCAGGTTTAACCTTTTGGAGATTAGCCAGCAGAATATGCAACAGCCAATCCCCCCTTCATGCTGGCTGAAGATGGGTTTTAATAGGCAAGGGATGACATGGGCCATCCCTTGATTCATGGGATTTGACCACTAATAGAAGTGAGAGAGCCAGCCGCCCTAGCTGTGGGATGTGACCACTTAGGGGGTCCTGTCAACCACACTAGCTGTGGGATGTAACCACTTAGGGGGGCCTGTCAGCCGCCCTATTCTTGCTAGGTGAGGAGCGCCATGCTTTCTCCCTTGATTTGTAGGATTTGACCACTGATGTAACGGTTCCCATACTCCAAGTGGGCAGTTGACAGTGAGCTGGCAAGTCTGCAACTTGAGTCTGCAAGCGAGCTTGGGACTGCAGGCAGACTTGGGTCTGCAGGCGAGCTTGCAGGCGAGCTGGGTCTGCAGGCGAGCTTGGGACTACAGGTAGACTTGGGTCTACAGGCGAGCTTGCAGGCGGGCTGGGTCTGCAGGCGAACTCGGGTGTGCAGGCAGACTTGGGTCTGCAGGCGAGCTTGATAGTGCAGGCGAATTTCGAGCTGCAGGCGAGCAGGCAGACTTGAGTCTGCAGGCGGATTTGGGACTACAGGCAGACTTGGGTCTGCAGGCGGATTTGCAGGGTCTGCAGGCGAGCTTGATCGTGCAGGCGAAATTCGAGCTGCAGGCGAGCTCCTGAGCATGGATCGAAGAATAGGCCGTAACTTTCAAACCGTAAGTCGGAATTGGACGAATTATATATGAAAATCGCCTATCTCGACGAGATGGAGTCATCCGAACCTAGCCAAAGGCTTTGGTTCGCTTCCTCCGTTTTGCCAAATTCCTTACGGTTTGGGAGATATCTGCGTTTTCCCCTTTTTATCAGTGTTTTTCCTCTTTTTGCTATTTCGGGCGAGGTTTTAGCAGTTTTGTTCTGAACTTCTCTGATAAGGATTTAAAGGCAATTTTTATTGCCTACACCAGATCAACGCAGTTTTGAGGTCTGCGTTTTGATGTTGGAACGTGCCTCTGAAGGCTGCGTTTTGATTGCACAACGCACCACTGAGAGCTGCGTTTGGCATAAACTGAGCCCACTCCTTTGGAGGAGGGGTTACTCGAGCAATCTCGGCTAAAGGAGAGAGCTTCCTTCGGCATAGGAGCAACAATTGGAGCTTTAGTCTCCTTGAAGATTTTGCGGATCTTGCGCATAGCCTTAGGGCTAAGGGATCCGAAGGAGAGTAACTCCTCATACTTGGCTTGATCGAACTCGATGATTAGAGTTTCATCGGTCGTTCCAGCGAGCTTGACGTCGGATTGCACCACCACTTCTTCATCAGAGAAGCTTGTCCCCAGCGGAGTCGCCATCTTTTGTTTGTTGGAAAATTTGAAGTAAAAGAAATGAAAGAAAAAATAATTTGTATTACAACTCTCTCAATCTTGATTACAATTGAATCTCCTGATTACAAAAGAGAGAAGAATGATCTGGATTCTCCCCTTTATTTAATTCTGGGTTCTTCACGATGGCGATGGAGTGCCTCCCTCGAATGCTCGCGTCGAGTTTGCTCTCCGTTAACGATCCGAACGTCTTGTTTCACTGGGATGTGGTCTTCTCCTCACGATTTGACGTTGTAGAGAACTTGCGTGGTAAGTTTGAAAATAACTCTTAACGAGTTAATAACTCAGTGCGAGTTTTAGAAGAACTTGCAGAGAAAGTTTTGAACTCTGATCGAGTTGATAACTCTGAACGAGTTGATAACTCTGAACGAGTTGATAACTCTGAACAAGTTTGAAACTCTATGGAAGAGTTGATTTAACCGAAAGTCGGTTATAAGCTAAGGATGAAGAAGCTCCTATTGCCGATCTCCAAAATCCCAGCCGAAGGATGAAGGCTCTTCTTTGCTGCCAAGCTTCAGATCCAAAAAGCCAGACCCTCCGATCAACCAAGCTAGCCCTTGGCCGAATCTCTCTCCGTTGATGAGACAAAATCCGATCTCTTAACTCAATTGAGTTTCTCGTATTTATATGGGATTAAGGGTGGTAACTGCCCCCTTAATCCGCTCCTAAGTGGGGCGGAAATCCCTCAAATCTTGGGGGGGAAACGGTTCCTAGAACTGTTCGGTTCGTGTTGTGCTTGAACGAGTCAAACGCTGAAAACAGCGTTCTGGGCCCGAACTCTGCGTTTTAGACTAAAAACGCAGAGTTGGGCCTATTTTGGGTGGCTGAACGCACAGGTCGCGATGCATTGTAAATCTGAAACGCAGAGTTGGGACGCAGAGATGAACTCTGTGTTTTGGACCTGAGACGCAGAGTTGGAACATAGAGATGAACTCTGCATTTTGGACTTGAGACGCAGAGTTGGAACACAGAGATGAACTCTGCGTTTTGGACCTGAGACGCAGAGTTAGAACACAGAGATGAACTCTGTGTTTTGGACCTGAGACGTAGAGTTGGAACACAGAGATGAACTCTGCGTTTTGGACCTGAGACGCATAGAGATGAACTCTGCGTTTTGACTCCGGAATATAGCCACGACCTCTGCGTTTCGAGTTTGGAACGCAGCCACAACCTCTGTGTTTTGGATCTGGAACGCAGCCACGACCTCTGCGTTTTGAGTTTTGGATGCAGAGGTGAGCCTTAGGTGGGCTCGGCGAGCTTTAGGCTAAGTCCGATGTTCTGACGAAGTCCAGTCTTGCAGACGGACTTTAGAACATAACTTGCTGCGAAGAACAGGTCATAACTTTCAAACCGTAAGTCGGAATTGGACGAATTATATATAAAAATCGGCTATCTCGACGAGACGGAGCCGACCAAACCGACCCCATGGGGTTCGGTTTGCTTCGTCAGTTTTGCCAAATTCCTTACGGTTTGAGAGATATCTGCGTTTTAGTATGAAGAGACCGTCAATTTGTAGTCTCTTTCGCTAGAGCGTTGCAAAGATCGTCACCTTGTAACCTTCGTCTTGGCTCCTTGAAAATATGAGAGTCATCAGATTGTAACTCCAGATGTTAATTGTGAAGGCTGTTGAATTAGAGCTTTCATCAGTTGTCGTGAAGGTCGTCAGATTGTAACCTCCAACATCATGG